CTTATATATTGAGTGTTTTGAAAAACTAGAGATTAACAATAAAATTTTCTAAAAATATAGAAGAGAGAATGAAATTTTTTAAAATTTGAAGGGGCCTTGGTCCCCCTAGACCTCCTCATAGATTTGTCGGTACGACTTATCACTAAATCACCGGTCCGACTTTGGTTAAGAAAACAAAACTTGCCACTAACTTGATACAATAGAAAGCAGCGTAATACAAAATGAATTCCCTCACAATCCGAGGAAATAAGTACAAGTAGTAAGAAGGTTGGTCTTCATAAGCATTTTTAATGCTTTTTTTCCCTTGGCTTTTTAGATGTAGACTTGATAACATTTGCTTGAAAGAACAAGAGGTTCCCACATTCACACTTGAATATTTCATTAATTTGTTGTATTCTTTCATAAAATTTCCTTCTTATTAACCTATTTAATGAAAATTTTAGTACTTAAACATTAGTTGACTAAAACAATAAACACTGTAATACATTTAACCGACGGTTTATTACCCATAAGCATTCGATAACAAACTTATTTTCCCACGAATCACATCCAACCCCATTTTGGTACAACTCCAACAAAGAAACTTTTAAAATACAAGACACTTAAACTAAAGGAGTTGACTATTCTATTGACAAAAAAAATTCGGTACTATACCTTCAAAATTTATTACTTCAAATAGTATTTTTATAATTTCTTTGAATCATTTTATAATTAAAAAAATTATTATTTTTGTAGTTGATTTACTACTTTTGTGAGTGTTTTTATTATTATTGTGGGTATTTTTATCACATTTGTAATAACTATTTTCACAACTTTTCTTAAATACAAAAAAATTTATCGCTTTTGTGTGTAATTTGTCATATTTATGAGTGTTTTTTTATCATATTTGTGAATTTTTTTATCATTATTATGATATTTATTTTTACTATTTTTTTGATTACCACGAATATGATAAAAGTTAGCACAAATATGAAAATTTTCGGTATACCACGAAAATTTTAAATCTCCCGCAGTCAACTGTTGAAGTCATGTAACATCATGATGGGCGTGGGGAAACAAATGAAATTACCTCCTTGTCAACTTAGAATTTGGCCATGCCTCTTCTACCTTCAAGTGAATCCATGCCTCTATTCCATCACCACATCTTGTGTCCAAGAACACAACACAACTAGGTTTTTGGATTTAAGGCTAGCCCTTAAGCCGACCCGACCCATATAGGTTTCCCTCCATCCAAAATCAGCTTCATATACAGGAAACCTGCATCAACTAGTAANTCGGTATACCACGAAAATTTTAAATCTCCCGCAGTCAACTCTTGAAATTACCTCCTTGTCAACTTAGAATTTGGCCACGTCTCTTCTACCTTCAAGTGAATCCATGCCTCTATTCCATCACCACATCTTGTGTCCAAGAACACAACACAACTAGGTTTTTGGATTTAAGGCTAGCCCTTAAGCCGACCCGACCCATATAGGTTTCCCTCCATCCAAAATCAGCTTCATATACAGGAAACCTGCATCAACTAGTAAAGATAACCACCTGTCCCTCATTTTGTTGGCGATGCCGTAACACTCTTCTTCGCTATCCAGGGATGGCACCGTTCTGACGAACCCTCTAATGTTTCCAAAATGACAATCAGACAATGGTGGATCAAACCAGGGCATTATAAGTTTTAGTGAGATCAACGTTTAAAGGCAGTAAACACGAGCTTATTTGTCACAATATTTTCCTTTTATCACTCCAGTGTTTAATTTAAAACGTCAGTTAAATCCATAGATGGGAAGAGCGTCGCACATTCAAATAATAGGCATGACATATCGATATTTTTACGAGCAATAACGGCCCAACTTTTAATGAACATGAAACATGACATGGCATCGGCAACCTTGTGAGACATGCCTATAGCAACCGCCATGGCACCACAGTCAAAGAAGGTAACTTGAATGACCGGGCCAAGAACCCTAACATCATCCACTTCATTTGGAAGGAACTTGTTGAGTTCACTTGGATTTGCNAGTAAACACGAGCTTATTTGTCACAATATTTTCCTTTTATCACTCCAGTGTTTAATTTAAAACGTCAGTTAAATCCATAGGTGGGAAGAGCGTCACACGTTCAAATAGTAGGCATGACATATCGATATTTTCACCAGCAATAACGGCCCAACTTTTAATGAACATGAAACATGACATGGCATCGGCAACCTTGTGAGACATGCCTATAGCAACCGCCATGGCACCACAGTCAAAGAAGGTAACTTGAATGACCGGGCCAAGAACCCTAACATCATCCACTTCATTTGGAAGGAACTTGTTGAGTTCACTTGGATTTGCACTGCAAATAAAATCCGAAAGTTGGCTGTACTTGACCCGAGCTTCCACGTATTGCACACACCCACCTGTGCAATCGATATATATGTTGTCTACAATATTTTATATTTTTAACTACTTCGCAGCAAAATGTTATTTTAGATGTTCTATTAGAGTAAAATTTTAAGATAAAATAACTAAATTTTGAAGTTTTTTTGTACTTTAGTTACTCTCTTGGAAATGTCATAAAAATTTTAACTCCAAATAATTTTAGTTTTAAATTTTAGACGCACTGTTTCTAATTTATCATATCTTCAAAGATATCTTTTTTATTTTTTGAATTTTCACTGATACCCCTTGTCAGATTAATGATATTAACTAGAATACAATTTTATTAAATTGCCAATAATATACTTTAGAAAAAACTTTATTCACAATCCCTCTGTATAGACATATCTTCAATGAGACTCCATTTTTTTTTTNGATATATATGTTGTCTACAATATTTTATATTTTTAACTACTTCGCCACGGCAGCAAAATGTTATTTTAGATGTTCTATTAGAGTAAAATTTTAAGATAAAATAACTAAATTTTGAAGTTTTTTTGTACTTTAGTTACTCTCTTGGAAATGTCATAAAATTTTTAACTCCAAATAATTTTAGTTTTAAATTTTAGACGCACTGTTTCTAATTTATCATATCGTCAAAGATATCTTTTTTATTTTTTGAATTTTCACTGATACCCCTTGTCAGATTAATGATATTAACTAGAATACAATTTTATTAAATTGCCAATAATATACTTTAGAAAAAACTTTATTCACAATCCCTCTGTATAGACATATCTTCAATGAGACTCCATTTTTTTTTTGAATTTTTTTACGTATTAAAATTCGGACCAATTAAAATTCGATTCGAACTAATTAAAATTCATTTTTTATGTATTAAAATTCGAATTTTAATCGACNTGTATAGACATATCTTCAATGAGACTCCATTTTTTTTTTTGAATTTTTTTACGTATTAAAATTCGGACCAATTAAAATTTGATTCGAACTAATTAAAATTCATTTTTTATGTATTAAAATTCGAATTTTAATCGACTTGAATCAAATTTTAATCAATTTGCTTTGAATTTTAATCGGTTTGAATTTTGATGCATAAAAAAATATAAATTTTAATTGACTCAAATTTTAATACATAAAAAATAAATTTTAATCAACTTGAAATAAATTTTAATTGACACTAATTTTAATAATTAAAAAATATAAATTTTAATCAACTCTAATATTAGTTTAAATTAGTGCTAGCAGTTCAAATTGATCTTAAATCGACTCGAATTTTAATACGTGAAAAAAAAATTTAATAGACTCCATTATTATTATGTACAAAAAATAAAATATAAAAAAATAAATTTTAATCGGTTCAAATTTTAATCGAATTTTATATATAAAGATTATTTGGAGTTTATGTATAGAAAATTTTAGTATTTTAGATGAATTCTTTTTTCTTAGAAACGATAGTTTTACAATAGAGTGTCAGTGATGTTTAAATATAAACTAGAAGGCGTGTCAGTGATGTTTTAAATAATAACGGAATATCTTTGAAGATATGATAAACTAGAAAAAATATGACTGAAATCTTCCCTTGATTATATATTATGGACAACCATCCAGTTTTAAAACTTAAAAATAAGATAAATTAAAAAACTAATTGTACATCAAATTTTTTTTGATAAATTTGTTACGAGTTTCAAAGAAAACAATATATTAATAATTGATAAGATATGATAACAAAATTTAAAAATACAATTATTTGATTTTTTTTTTGAACTAATGAAAAATTTCATTAATATTAAAAAAATTAAAAGGTTCTNTGTAAACTAGAAGGCGTGTCAGTGATGTTTTAAATAATAACGGAGTATCTTTGAAGATATGATAAACTAGAAAAAATATGACTGAAATTTTCCCTTGATTATATATTATGGACAACCATCCAGTTTTAAAACTTAAAAATAAGACAAATTAAAAAACTAATTGTACATCAAATTTTTTTTGATAAATTTGTTACTAGTTTCAAAGAAAACAATATATTAATAATTGATAAGATATGATAACAAAATTTAAAAATACAATAATTTGATTTTTTTTTTTGAACTAATGAAAAATTTCATTAATATTAAAAAAATTAAAAGGTTCTATTTAAATTTGTTGTATTATGCCTCAATATGTGTGGAAGCGCCATAGTGGTCTCATGGCTTTTCCTTCCACTAGACCCCAAAATTCAATAAATTATATATATAACTTTTAAACTATAACTTTTATGTCAATTGAGTAACTATTAAACTTTCTAATTGTATAATTAACTTCTTCTATCTTTTTGTGTCATATGATCATGTGATTGACATACTTTAACCGAGGTAAACAAAATAACTCAATTGATATAATTATAGAGTTTAGGAATTTAATTGATACAAAAAAGTTTAGAGTCTTAATTAATATAAAAATGATAGTTTGAGGGTTATATAAGTAGTTTAATCAAAAAAATTTGAGGATGTGGATAAGGCTCAGTTGAAAATTTTGGTGATCTGTTTCTTCTCCAACCTTTCGATTCAGACAAAAGCCCAGACATTCTTGGATAGACAGAGAAACCCAGTAAGCCATAGTTGCTGTGGTTGGTGAGCTTGAATAATGGAGGTGGCTATGTCTTTGAATCCACTGGTTCAGCTACGGACATCAGAGTTAAGAACCCACGAAGATGGACTCATCAGACATTCCTTAATCTCGACGAGGATGACCCAGAAGCCTCGACACCAGAGGCCACACCAGCAGATGTTGGTGGTGGAAGCCAAGGGTAAGAAAGGAATGGCGGCACGTCAGTTCCAACGCCCAACTCCTTCTCTCCCCAAGCTTGAAGACGATGGCAACCCTAAGTTCGTCATCTTTATCCGCATGGCCAATGTCAGCTCTCTCACTCTCTCTCTCTCTCGGAAAAATTGCTTCTTTCGATGATTTTAGCTGATGGGTATGAGTAAATATTGCTAATTTTGTAGTTTTTCAACAAATTTTACAATATCTCTATGATTGGTTTCTTTATGTTTTGTTTTGTTAGAGGGGGAAAGATGCTAGTAAGAACTTCATTCTCAAAATGTTTGGATATTTGACATTTAGATGCGTCTACTGCCCTATGTGTTCTTCTTTTTTATTCTCTTTCTGTCGTCAATGCTCTGTAATGCATCGTTTATATCTATTATTTGTGGTAGGCATAGGATATAGTAGTGACAGTTAGTTTCAATTTCTAAACACTGGGTGTACAATAATTGTTGAGTCAAGTTGCCCACCCCAGAAATGTTGGAACACGACTTCGAGTTGAATTGGGCGTGCAATAATTCTTTGCAGTTTTTGATCTGTGCTTCATTTTCTGTCAGTTGGAGTTACTGAATTTATTCAGTGCAAAGGTTTTGGTAATATTTTCTTTTTCATGGTTGGGCAGGTTTATCTTTGGTATCCACTTAATCTTGTAACGGGCGGCACCACTGCAAAAATCATGGTTGCAGCAAAGGACAATTTTCTGGGGAAATATATTTACAAGGATACGTTATCTAGGAATCTTGCGGCAGTTATATACAAAGTAAGCTTTGTGATTACTTGGTTTCTTGATTGATTTCTACTCCTTGTTTGAGAATACTCATGAGTTTTGAATTATTAGAAATCTAATTTAGTCTTTTATTTTTGTTTGTAATAGTATAAACTAAAAATTTGCTTTGTTTATTTCAAAATGGAAGATGGCAAAATGAACGATCTTGTACCGACTCAAATTAAAGTATATGTCAAGTTTCTAGTAGTATTCATTGTTCACCCAAGAGTGGACTATTCTCCTCTTGTATATATAGAAAATGTTTGAATTGAAAATAATATCAATATGCCATTTATGTGTTTCAATGCCATATTGAAGGAACCACAAATTTCTTTAATTAATGATGATTGGGAACTAATGATCAAAATTTTGCTTTGGTGTATTGTTTCGGTCACTTAAGAAATGAAAACAGTTCGATGTGTTTCGGAAACGTTTTCACCCGTTTTGAAAATAGAATAAAAAAAATAAAAAATTATTTTTTAAAAACATTGGTCGAAATATACTCAAATATCTTGAAATACTTTGAAACATTTTGAAATAATTGTGCAAATGTATTGAAATATACCAAAACTTTTCCAAACATTATGGAACACCTAAAATTATTAGAATTTCGATTCTATAACTGATTCATTTTGGTCTTCTTAGAACCAGAAACGTTTCGGATGTTTCGCCCGTTTTGAAACGATATTTTGTTCCTTGGGAACACATTTTGAAGAATTTATTTCTATGCGTATGAGCTCATCCAAACATATGCATGCAATCAATCAGGGACAAAGGTAGAATTGTTTTTTTGGGGGGGACTAAATCTAATGTAACTGATAATATAAACTAAATATATAGTTTATCAATTCAGATTCTCGAGCCACAAAAACATATCCAACAAAGTAATATATATGATGAAGAAATAAAATAAAGATATGAAAAAAAATTAAAAATGAATAAAAAATAATTTTGAGTATGTATTAACTTAGTCGTATACTTAATCCCTAATACACTTTTTAACAATTTTTTCTACCTACCTAGTTAAAGAGTCTATAACGAAACCATTGCCTAACAAATTGAAAAATCTTCTCTTGAAAACGTTCGACATGATATGATAAAAAGACCTAATTCACTATAGCATTTAGATTGACCCTAGACCCCATTAAACATTAAAATTTAGTATTAATTCAACAGTTATAATAAAATTACATCATTAAATTAACAAATTATGTCAAATTTTAAGATCTCAATAGTATTACTCAACATTTTGTTATTAAAGTTGAAGATCAGTACATTCTCTTCATAGAAACTATTTTCTAGATGAGGTCAATTCTCTTGACAATGTCCAAATTTTTTTGCTTAATATTTTACCTGCTGATGTTGGCAAAAGTGTGTGTTTTGGGGGGGGGGGGGGGG